AAAATCCAGTTTGTCCAGTTTGTGTTTACAGGCAGGAAAAAACTGAATGCTTGATATTTAATGCAATCTCAAAATCATACATTAAGTCTAATATTTTCTAAAAGATGTCCAGTTCATTCATTTGTAGCATAGCCTAATACACCCAGGAAAAAAAGCAATATTAGTAGAGGCATGCGTGCCTATTGTGAGTCTGAATCCCATGTTTCAGAGGAGTCTGTTTTCCGAACTCTTTAAAGCAATTAGTGATCCACTTAAGGCCGACATAAGATTAATGCCAGAAGAGCCGAAGAGCAGAGCTGTGGAACTAATCTGTAATACATCCCTGTGTTACTGACAACTTGTAGACATGAGGGAAACTGCAGGCCAGAGTCATCTGTACAAGCTCAGCTCAGCCCCTTTGAACCATAATCCCCCTCGAACATTTAGACACAGAGCAGAAAGGATCGCCGAGTGGCACAAAGTCATCAACCACACAATGCTGAGATTCACTTCAAAATAATGAGAATATGAAACAAGAGCAGAATCATGCACATGTGTGAATAAAAAGACCAAGTTGAAAGGCATAAAAGACATATGTCCGAGCATATGGTTGCCAGATTTTGCAGCAGACTTCTGATCGCACAAATAAATCCTTTTCTGGTCTTTGAGTGAGGATGGATGAATGGGAGGTGGATAACGATGTGAGGGAGTTTGTTTCATGTCAGGGGACCGCCGACGGTGTATGAGTGTGAGCGTGCTGTGCGACAGCTCCATTCACAAAGATATGCTTTGAATCAGATGTATGGACCTCAGTTAATGCAGCAAAGAGGAAACATCCTTTCTGATCCATTATGCTGCAATAAAATGTTTCTGAAATCATGAAAGCAAAATGAATGATAGAGAAAGATTCAAAAGCAATCAGAAGTTCAACTTCAGGCAAAAACAACAAAATGGCACAACGCAGGACACAATAATTAACGCATAAATAAAATACACAAGCTAAAGCTGCGTGCAAGAAACACAGTGAGAAAACGTGTTGTTATACTTTTTCATGTGTGCACAGCAGTGAACGAGCCGGGATGTGGTGGGTAAGATGTCGTAAACATGTTTGCAAGAAGTGATTTGTGGGTCTCGCATACATTTTGAATGGTGGCAGCATCAAACAGCTGTCACTGAAAAACTGCAGACATGTTTGAGCGGCCTCGTGTGTGCTCAAAAATGTTGTTTGCTTTACTTACAGCAGGAAACTGAGCAAGATAAATCTCAGATAAACTGATCTCATGTTCACACGCATGTGACACAAATTTGAGCAAACTGGCAGAGATTTCTGGCCACATTTACATTTTGTTTCACTTCATTATTGAGCAAAGCATTCATGGACACTTTTATGAAAGGCATGTGTGCGAAAAGCTGCAGTTTCTTTCATGGCCACTTGAGGCTTTATACGCATTTGTGCATTAAGGCTTGATGCACAATGACCAGGGGCTGGTTTCATTTTGCTCAGTTTTTTTCTCTTTTTTCTCACCTTTTTTAAAGTCTGTTTCTTGCTTTGTTTTTACCATATCTCACGTAATATCCCAGTAAATTAAAAAGACATGCTGTAAAACTAAATCAAGAAGCTCCCCAGCTCTGCTGCTTTCTTATCCCAATTCTGGCTCGAAAAACAAAGCAACATGCAAAAACACGAGGCTCCAGAACAAATTGTTGCGGCATTGCACAGCAAGCATCTGCTAAAGGCAGACAAACAAAAGTGCTTATTGTTTTAATTGCTCACCATACTGTGTTCATTCATTGCGTCAGCTCTCGTGATTTCTTTTTAAGCCACCAGAGACGTTTCATTTTCAGGGATAAAGAAAAAAACTGCATGTGAGACGAGGTTTGAATCATTGTCTCCTTAAAAGTGCTAGGCGTATCTGCAGGTTGTGCAAGTGGGTAACTATTTGTGACAATGTGTTCATGAAAGGTGAAAACATTTCAATATGCCGCCCCCAAGTGGGCAAATACTGCAGCTGCTGTGTTTGCCACGTCATCCTGAGAAGTATGCTCATTTATAAGTTATACACTTTTCCTTCAGCTCTTTGTGTAGAGCAGCCTCGCCTTCACGTTTTTCTGCTCTAGATATTCTCCTGAGTTTGCCCTGCTGGACAGAGAGGATACTATTGAAGCTGTTTGCTTCCTCGCCCAAAATATGATGCATACCGATATGCCACACATGCACTAACTTTGGCCACACACATACTTCATCATGCTCTATATTCAGATTTTAAATATTTGCATGACAGAGGATTACATCTTTAAAAGAATTCATTCACTTTATTTTCCAGCATTTATTGGTTTCCAACTTGTGTGCAAAGGCTGAGTTTAACAAGTCAGAAAGAACAACAAGTACTGCAGAGCCAGGTGGGATAAAACCCATAGCACCCAATAACTAGAGCATCAGTGAAAATGCATTTTAACGGTTCCAGGTAACACACCTCGCCATTGTTGTTCACATGGAGTCAACATGAAGTAAAAGCTTTGTTTGATTTTGCCTTTCCACACTCACTTATTGTCTCATTATGAGGGACAAATGATCCAGCGGGGATGAAGACAAACCAAGAAAAGGCCCCGCATGCACAAGATTTAATGCGAACAGGGTGTATACAAACACAGTGTATTCTTCTTCATGCTGCGTTTTATGACCAGGAGTGGTCGGTCATTTAAGAGGGCAGTTTTAATGTCGCGTTGTGTAACTAGCCACATCTTTATCCTGTTATAACTTTATTAATTTGGCTTCAGCTTTCATCCAGAGTTTATAGGCCTTCGAAATGCCTGAACCTCAGAGGTTGGTCTTGTTGAACAGAGATCACCCACTGTGAGCTATGTAAACAGCTGTAAACCACACACAGACACATACTAACACATGCTGCACGGGAAAGAAACACTGACTCCTCAGGACCGGGGGGGGGGGAGAAAGAAAAGAAAAGACGCTCAACCAAAAGCTGAACCTCAAAGGAAGAATTTGCAAATATCATGTAATACTTCTATAAGATCACCAAATAAAGAAACCAAACCCTGCAAATCAGGGAAGGAAAGTATGACATGTTTGTTTCAAAGTTGGGCTTCAAATTCAAGGGGAAAAAAAGAGTATTTGATTTGAAACGAGTTCATTAGTTTCAATAAATGAAATGAAATTTTTTAAAAGTTGTGCAAATGAAACTTTCTTTTGAGTACATTTTCATTACCCTGAAAACACCTTCTTATACTGATATTAATGCCAGAGGAATTCCTGTAGCGACATCCTATAACAGCAACGCAGTCCAATTCAGTGAGCTCTTTAGTCTTTCACTAATGTTTGTAAAAGCAGACTAAAAACACCTGAATTCAAAGATTGAGAGGTGTGGCCCATTACATTTATCCATGTAGTGTAAGTTCTCAACAATAAAAATTTTAGAGTATTTTTAGTGGCTATTAAATAATGCAAAGAAATGACTTTATACTTGGAACCAGTATTTTGTTCCTCTGTATGTAAAACCTGTTTCATTCCCTCCCCTCAACACCTTCCTAACAGACACACATTTACTGGACATGTTTTGACAGGTGGTCATCACTGGTTTATACTGTAGGCTGTAATTGCAGTCTGCACGAACAGCAGAAGAGATGGAAAGAGAGCAAGTGTTAGTGAGTACGTGGCTGTCTTTGTGTTATGAATATAACAAGATGACAGACAAGAAAGACCAAACACACACACACAGGAAATTTAGAAAGAGCAACTGAACATGAATCACAGACAGAATAAGTATTATTTCAGTCACAGCCAACACAGTTGTCAGTGAGTGCCATGACCAAAACCCTTTTCATTCCCTTCTGTCTATTTCATAAACTAACTTCTTTATTCCCAGCACATCTGGCAGACAGATGTCTATCTCGTCTTACGTCTCTTATTTTCTCTCCCTCGCTCCTTCTTTTCCCTTTGGGCAGGCCTGGTGTTAATCGCTCTCTCCTCCACCTGGCAAGACCACCCACATACTGAGCAGTGATGCTCAGGCCACCAGCAGAGTATGTGTGTGTGTGAGTGCATTATAAATTCATACACAAGAACATCACTTGAACTTACTTGAACTTACACAGGAGCAACAGTAACAGGAAATAGCCAAAAACTAAATTATTTGTGTGGAGATTTCACCAGTTTCAAAACTCAAATCCCCCCCCCCATGTAAATATTGAAGAAGAAATAAAAATATATTCTGCCCTAAAATTGAGTGAAAGCATATGAATATGGATTTGAAATGTTTTAAAGGAAATAGGGATGCCCAGCTATGATAAAAAATAAGAAAAGAAAAAAATAAGGATATGCGAGAAAAAAGAAATGGGCAAAATGCCCTTTTAATTATTTAAGCCAGAGTCATGGAAATCTATGCATTTGCTGCCATCTAGTGGTCAAGAGACCAAAGCAGAGACAATAATACTGTTATTGTACTCAAGTATTTTCTAATTAATTCTAAGTAATTTCACTTTTTGTTTTTAATCCAGCTCAGTTTTAGTTAGTGCAGTGACAGTTTGCTTGTTTCAGTTTCATATTTCAGTTTTGAAAATGTTTAGTAGTTTACAGGGTTCATAACTACGCTGATAATGAGCCTCATCCTCCTTTTGTTCGGACTTTTCCATGGTCATCCACCCGCGTGCACACATTACATCAGAAGAGACACCACAACACAGAGTTAACACTGCATTACAATAAGAAAAAAAAGACCTGGTGCTGAAAAACCCCCCCGGAGGGAATAAGATTAGTGCTGTTAAAGTCAATGAGGTGTCAAAATAGGCTAGCTGTTCTGCAGACCCTGTTCACACAACATAGCTGACTGAAGAAAAATGTAAAATATTATTTACCTTACCATAAACTGACTTTAATATTGTTTAATTTGATTTTAAATAATATGCTCAACTGTGTGCCAAAACTGGGGATCAAGCTGTAACGTAACTACAATTCAACTCATGAGTCTTACTTTAATCGGTGTAACGTTTTCTAACTTGGAGACCCAAAACAGGCTATGTTAGCTTAACTTTAACAGCAATGAGTAAAGGAATTGGGGGTCGGACCCTTCGTGTTTTCAGCCTAAGAGAGATATCAAGGCACAGATAACTTAACCACCTCAACTGCTATACCAAAATAAATCCTTGAGGGTTTTATTTATGTTGTTTTTAGCCTGTTTGAGCTTCAGTCAGTTTTAGCTAATATGCCTGTTAGCTAATGCACTATAAGCTAACAGGAAGTTCGTAGGATCCAGTGCAGGTCATCTACCCCCGAGCAGGACAACCAGAATGTCCCCAGGGTGTAATTACAGACAACCCCAGGTAAGTGCTTTTAATACTTTGGCAAATTGCGGGTCAAAATAAGCATTGGTGGTCGAATGCTGTTGTCCAGAGAGAGAATATTTGTTTGGTGTCTTGCTGTGCTTGCTATGCATCGCTGACTCGTTTCTTCTTTCTGCATCAAGTAAGGAATGTAGTGAAAGTTCCCAAGAGGTTAAAAACACCACTGAAAAAATGCCATCAGACCTGAGTTGGGACACTTGGATTATGGAGCTTCTGGACCAAGAGAGTGGATGGGAGCATGTGTTTAACAAGTAAGAGAATAACGTCCCCCAAAATGTTTAAATTTCAAAGCTCATGCATACATTAGTGATGGGCAGATGAAGCACTGAAGCTTTTCATCCAATTGGTTCACCTCAGCGCAAAGCTTCTTGAAGCTTCATTTGCTCTAGTAGGACACCTACTGGACGTAAAAATATTAGTTGGCATGAATTTGAAGAGTGTGGCCTTTTGCACACAGCCTGTAAATGTCAACAACAAAAGGAGTGTGTAAAACATGTATATTGTAGTGATGCAGTATACTGTGTATATTTATACTGGCAGTATGGAAAATGATTATTTGGAAATGCTTAAAATGGAAATGATCATTTACTGTGAGGTGAGGTGTGGTTGGGGTGTGGACAGTGGTTGTGCTTTTGTAACGTTGAGGTATAGACAGCTACACACTGAGACGTCAGTCCTGCCCATATTTTATTCAGTAAAAACTAAATTTTCACTGCTTTTATGACCTTTTTAGTGGGGAGAACATAGCTAGGATTTAATGATTTAACAAATCTTATAAATCCTTTGTCCTCCACAATGCTAAATGGCTGGGAGTCCTCAATCACCATGCTAACCAGGTCTTCATCTATTTGAGATTGTTCTCCTGAGGAAAGACAATAAAAACAAAGCACAAATATAAATATCACACACGTAACTTATTACAGTTGTATAATATTGTTATATCATTTAGTAACATTACGGCATGCTATTATTATCATGGCATTTGATGGCTCACCTGGTCTTGCTCCACAATCGGTGTTCCCCTTATTCTCATGCAAAGCTCTGTAGTGCCTAAGCATGGATGAGGTGTTGTTGTTATATCCCAGCTCCCTGGCACATAGCAAACACTTCACCTTGTACAAAAGTAAATACAGCTTAACATAAATTGTATTGCACCATCAGTATTATGAAAATACATCTTCTGTAGAAATACCTTGTTGGGAGGAATAAGATCAAAATGTTCCCACACAGGGGAGGACATCCTCCTCTTCTTAGCTGGCTCCATTCTCTCCTGAGTTTCTCTCCTCACTCTCATAAACCTCCAAACTGCCTCCCAGCTGTCTCCAACTCTCACTAACCGCAGCTCTCCATCAAACACCCACATTTTGATTGAAGTCTGAGGGGTTTATATCGCTGTCACATCTCGCGGCAAAGTTCGAACCACTTCATGAACCAGTCACGTGGTACAGCCGGGCAGCGAGGCTTCGGACGTCATCATTTTCAGCTCCTCCCATAAATGAAGCAAGCCTCGATACGCTCATCGCGGAAACGCCCCCTCCATTACTCGACACATCACTAGCATACATGCACATCTAGTGCTCAGCGTCTAATTGTGTGTTTGTGTTTTTACCTTTTTGCAGTAGCGTAGTGAAACATTTGGGCGGTGGATAAATAATGGAAAATAAAATTCAGACTACAGACGGCTTCAGGTGAGTACACGTGGTGCACAAGGACCAAAGCTCACCTTCTCAACCTGGAGAAAATGAATTATTTTACACTGATACTGTAAACTGTTGTTTGTGTATCAGGTTTCCATACATCGGAAACAGCTGCTGCATCTGTAATTCTGTCCATCTTGAGGAGAGTCCACACTCTACATCAGATCCTTGGCTCACCTATAATGATGCACAGGTGCTGCACACAACTGGATCTGCAGCTTGTGAGGAACAGCAGCACTCAGCCTACATGCTGTTTCACAAGAGAAACGTAAGAAGACACAGCATCTCATCCTGAAGTGAGAGAATGGCACGCCAGCTGCAGCCTAATCCAATCTCTCTTCTTTTCTTTTTTCGGTGCCCAGACACCCTTCAGTTTCATCGTGTCATCACAAACAATAGCTGTAGAGTTAGATGGAGGATGAAGACAGCAGAGAGCAAAAGAAACAGGTAAGAGCAGACAGGTAGTCAGAGTTAACAAAAACTTTTAAAGCCAGTGTAGCTTCTGTTTTGAACACATTTATTGATGACAATTTTACATAAATAAGCAGTGTGTTATACTGTTATCAGATGTGGAGTCTCACTAACCACTTTAATAGTGACTTGTGTCCCAAATACTGTTTATTTGTCTTAGTTACAGATAGTGAAATAAAAATGGGAAATGATTGTTTTATAATTGTATACTCAGCTTGGTCGAGAACGAGGGGCAGGATTTTGAAATGATGCCATTGGTGCATTTACTAAAGTTCTGGGGTCAGTTTGAATATCAGTGACTTTGACCTTGAGTTCAAGTTTTCTGAAAATGTTGTGAATGCTACAACTCTGTGACGAGAAGCAAGTCTCCTAGGTCTTTAAATTTGTATATAGGTGCATCTACTAGGAAGCTGAAGGGTTGCACTGCGGGCCATCTGTAGAGGTGTAGAGTCAACAACCTGTCTCTGAACGTGGACAAAACAAAAGAGATCGTTGACTTCAGGAGAGCACAGTGGGATCACTGCCCACTTAACATGAATGGATCTTCTGTGGAGGTCGTCAAGAGCACCAGATTTCTTGGTGTCCACCTGGCGGAGAACCACTCCTGCTCCCTCAACACCAGCTCCATAACCAAGAAGGCCCAGCAGCGTCTCTACTTCATGCAGAAGCTGAGGAAAGCCCATCTCCCACCATCCATTCTCACCACCTTTTACAGTGGGACTAATGAGAGCATCCTAAGTAGCTGCATCACTGTCTGGTATGGTAACTGCAGCATATTGGATCGCAGTACCCTACAACGGATTGTGAGAGCAGCTAAGGAGGTCATTGGAGCCCCTCTCCCCTCCTTATAACACCCGCTTGCTGGAGGACCCCACACAGCCTTCAAACACACTCTTCACCCTGCTGCCTTCTGGAAAGAGGTCCCACAACATCCGGGCCCTCGCTACCAAACTACGGAAAAGTTTCTTCCCACAAGCCGTCAGACCCCTGAACACTCAGTGACTGCACTGGCACACGCACACCTTCACACATGTCACTACCAAGCACTTGTCTGCAGTATCTCACACTCATGCACATACATACAGACACCAAGTTACTTTTGCACAATACTCAGCATTTTGCACATTTCCATTGTCTTGTGTCTGTTTCGTCCTGTTCTGTCACGTTTTGCACTGTTTTGTCTTGTTTATTTTTGCAATTTATGCACACTGCACTTTATGTAGTCCTGGGTTTGTCCGTATATGTCATATATAGCACCAGGGTCTCGGAGGAACGCTGTCTCGTTTCACTCTGTACAGCACCTCTGCACGTGGTTAAAATGACAATAAAAGCCACTTGACTTGACCTGTTTTGTGTAGCAGTTGCTTGGAGACGAGCACCATACAGTTCAAATGAGCATACATTCCAAAATATGCAAATTTGCCCCATACATCATAATGCTGATGTTTGCTGTTCAGGGTATGAACATTCTATGCTGAAAGTTTATAAATATAAAACCTTTGACTGCTTGTTTTCAGTTGAACTTTTGCAAAGCTGAGGAGATTTTGGCTGCGATCACATCAAGTCCAAAGATGTTTAAACTTCTTTTTCACAGAAAGGTAAGTTTGAAGAGACTCGCAGCACATTTCTATGAATATTTTCTTATGGTAAACAAGCATTTTTGAAACTTTTAAGGAAGCTTCTTGGATGATTTCTGTAAAAACTGAATTTTGAATCCAAATGAAGGATTTTGTATTTTCATACCATATACTTTGTTTTATGCCATTACTGATGTTGCTTTTCTTGTTTCTAAACAGAAATCACACAAACAAAACGTGGCAGAGAAGGAAATTCCTTCTACGTCTCATCAGAGGTAAAGAAATGCGCCAGTCTTTAATGCTGCTGGAGATATTTATAGCAGTGGTTGAGTTGGAGCTCTTTTATTTCCCTTTTATTGGTGTTTTGTATTTACATCTTTTTTACTACTTCTAGTCTTGTCTATAATTTATATTGATTCAGAGATTAGCGTTTGAAAATGTAGAGTGTAAATGTACAAAATACATGATTTTGTTCCATTACAGTTATTAATTTTTATCTGCAATCTCCAGCATGTACTCCTTGTTAAAAATTTGCACTTTGAAAAATAACATTTACACTTTTGTCCTCATCAGCATCCCGGATGCTCCTGTTACTGAAAATGGTCAAAAGAAGAGAAAATGGAGACACCTCTGCTGTTCCTCGGTTTGCTTTTACACAAAACATATGAAATGCACATTCTCTTTAAATTGCACTTGTTAATTTAAAGTGACTTTACTTTTTTAATAAACGTATGTTTGTTCATACTCTGCAGCAAACTGACAGCGATGCAGAGGCAGAGAGCAACACTGTGAAGACACAAAAAAAGTGTCGCTGGTTTCTTTTTAAATTCTGGAAGGTATGTTTTATGGAAAGAGTCCCTGTCATCAAGCATTTACTCATCACAGTTAAATGAGAAGAATTAAGAGCAATTTAGCACACAGCTATGTCCTCAAATTAAGTTCAAAGATGTTTAAACGTTTTTTTTTCACAGAAAGGTAAGTTCGAAGAGACTTGCAGGATGTTTCTCTAAATATTTTTTATGGTGAATAAGCATTTTTGAAGCTTCATGGATGATTTCTGTAAAAACTGAATTTTGATCAGAACCAAATGAAGGATTTTGTATTTCATAGGACAAACTTTAAAACTCAATTTAAGGCATGAATAAATTGTTTTTATTTTATTTAAAGATATTCCTATATATCTGCTTCATGAGCTGACAGCTCACTAAAGTGATAAATAATATGAAATAATACCAAATTTTCTAACTGGACACTTTTCATGGAGAGACCCACTTGGTATGTTTGTTTTATGCCATTACTGATGTTGCTTTTCTTGTTTCTAAACAGAAATTACACAAACAAAACGTGGCAGAGAAGGAAATTCCTTCTACGTCTCATCAGAGGTAAAGAAATGCGCCAGTCTTTAATGCTGCTGGAGATATTTATAGCAGTGGTTTGGTTGGAGCTCTTTTATTTCCCTTTTATTGGCATTTTTCTTCCACCTTGTGTATTTACATCTTTTTTACTCCTTCTAGTCTTGTCTATTATTTATATGGATGCAGAGATTAGCGTTTGAAAATGTAGAGTGTAAATGTATAAAATACATGATTTTGTTCATGTTGGTATTCCATTACAGTTATTCACTTTTATTAGCAATCTGTATTAGCAAAATGTACTCCTTCTTATAAATTTCCACAACATTTACACTTTTGTCCTCATCAGCATCCCGGATGCTTCTGTTGCTGCCACACCAGCTAACCCTGAAAATGGCCAAAAGAAGAGAAAATGGAGACACATCTTCTGCTGTTCCTCGGTTTGCTTTTACACAAAACATATGAAATACACATTCTCTTTAAAATGTACTTTTTAATAAACTTATGTTTGTTCGTCCTCTGCAGCAAACTGACAGCGATGCAGAGGCAGAGAGCAACACTGTGAAGACACAAAAAAGGTCTCGCTGCTCTCTTTTTAAATCCGGGAAGGTATGTTTTATGGAAAGAGTCACTGTCATCAAGCATTTACTCATCACAGTTAAATGAGAGCAATTAAGAGCAATGAGGCACACAGCTATGTCCTATATATTTATATCAGGTAAGAAGCACCACGGAAACGATCCCAGCAGACCTGAGTTGGGACACTTGGATTATGGAGCTTCTGGACCAAGAGAGTGGATGGGAGCATGTGTTTAACAGGTAAGAGAAAGACGTCCTCCAAAATGTTTCAACTTCAAAGCTCATGCATCCATGCACATACACTGCTCAGCATCCTGACATCTTTCCTAATTTTGTGTTTGTGTTTTTACCTTTTTGGAGCAGTGTAGCATGCGGTGGAGAAATAATAGAAAGTCAAACTGGGACTATAGACTGCTTCGGGTGAGTACACGTGGTGCACAAAGACCAAAGCTCACTTTGTCAAAGTGGAGAAAATGAATTCTTTTACACTGATACTGTAAACGTTGTGCGTGTGTGTCAGGTTTCCAAACATCGGAAACACCTGCTATATGAACTCCTGCCTGCAGAGCCTCCTCAACATTGAGGAGTTCATAAGAGACATCAGGCGTCAGGAGGTTTTGTGGAGCACAGATCCAGAAGCTCAGCTCTTAAGGTGCGCTACGTCAACCTTCTACTTTCTTCAAAAACCTGAAGAACAAAGAGATCTAACAGCAGAAATGTCTGTTTACCCTTTCCTTTCTACAGAAGGCTCATTGATGTCAGGGACTGTCATGAGTCAACAGATTATGGCCTTAAAGATCACCACCTAAGAGCTTTTAAGAAGGCATTCAGCAGTCAAGCTCCTGAATACACCGGCAGTGCACAGAAAGTGCGTCAGCTATTTGGACATTTCGTTTTTTTGCTTTACCTTCTGATTTTGATTTACTGTTTTAAATCTCTCTGCTTTTCTTTCAGGACGCTCATGAATTCCTAACATTGTTCCTCAATGAGGTCAAAAGGCTCGCACCTCACCTGGAGAGGAACGCAGCTCTCCTGGGCCAAAGTTATACCTGCCCAGTAGAAGAGCATCACATTTTTAAAATGGAAAACATGAGGACATGCAAGAGGTAAGCCTGTCTTTCAGAAACGCAGAGCTGGTTGCAATGTTTTCATATACCTCTTTTCCACCTACCTGATCTTTACTTTAACTACGTTACTCCTGAAATGTGTAGCTGTGGTCACCAATCATCACAGCACGAGGACTTCACCAGCTTGTCTCTTGACCTTGTTCCAGAGGGGTCTATTATAAACATGTTAGAGACATACTTGAAGGTAAGATCACAAATTCCAATAGAGTTGTAGTGTCAGCGATCTTAACACACCTTTTTTGTTAGTGTTTGTGCGTATGTGTGTGTGCATATGTTGAGATTTCTTTCTACCATAAAGCCTGTTTTCTCTGTGCTGTTGTTCAGGAACAAGAAATAGAATTTCGCTGTGATTGTGGAGGGACGGCCTCAGAACTGAAGTCGTCTTTTGATACACTGCCAAGGTGAGTAAGGTCACATCAGAATTGATCGACTGACCAGGTTTCCAAACTGTGGCGCATCAAATATCAGAGTTTTTCGAGACAATACTTGAGCAGTCGTTTTCTCCCATCTTCTGTTTGTGTTTGACACTCATTCTTCTTATTTTCTACCTTGTTTGTGTTTTTTTTCTTCTTTTCTGCCAGAGTCCTGATCTTGCATCTGAAGAGGTTTGGCTTTACACAAACCTACAAGATTAAGAAGGTGGATGACCCCGTCAGGCTGCAGAGGGACTTGGTGGTGCCATCCAATCAGGTAAAAACAGACTGCAGAACGTCTCAGGCTACGTCCACACTAGCCCTGATAGATTTGAAAACTCCGTGTCCACACTAGCGTTTTCAGTCATTTTCAAATAGTTGTGCGTCTGCATTGAAACGGCCGAAAACGCTTACGTTCCAGTCCTGCGCATGCGCAAAAGTGAGTGAGGATTACAGAATTTGAAGAAAAGCTATCCGGAGCATGTACAAACTGATATTAATCTTTTTTAGGGCTTTCAAAGTTGAGAGCAATCAAAACAACTGCTGTAAAATGCACTCGGCTATCTTTGTTTAATTGCTCACATGACTGCATCACATGACTAAAATGCATCATCGTTTTAGAAAGTCTGCGTTTTCGAGAGCGTTTTCAAGATGCTGTGTTTTTCCTTGAGGAAAACGCCGTCTCAGTGTGGACGGGAGGTCAAAGCGGAGAGAAAACGATGTGTTTTCAAACGAAAACGCATTAGTGTGGACGTAGCCTCAGCAAATCAGCTTAATTATGGCTCTGATGTGAGACTTTGTGAAACTAACACTCTTTGGATTTGTTCCTTCTCAGGGTGGTGGCTGTTATAGTCTTGTCAGCATCATCAGTCATTATGGAGGCACAGAGTCAGGTAAAACAACAGACTTGTTACAAACAGAAAATGAAAACTTTCTACTTTTCAGTGAAGGACTCACACACAAAAGCTTTTGATGTTCTAAGACGCACTAAGTCAAAATCACTGTTTGCTTGAATCAGCTGACTTCCAGAAGTTAGATTCATTTGTCTTAATGTGATTTCAGGACACTACATCTGTAGTTCTGTCCATCCTGAGGAGAGTCAGCACTCTACATCAGATCGCTGGCTCACCTATAATGACGCACAGGTGCTCCACACAACCGGATCGGCAGCTTGTGAGGAACAGCAGCACTCGGCCTACATGCTGTTTTACAAGAGAAACGTAAGAAGACACAGCATCTCATCCTGAAGTGAGAGAATTTTTAAATGTCCTGTTACCTTGTTAACCAGTTTTGTCTTCATTCTCAGTTCTGAAACAGGAAATGGAAGGAAGGTCATCATCATGCTGAGAAGAAACAACACTCGTCCCAGCCCACCATCGCACACTGGAGGACAAGTACTGGTAAGTATTGCCCTCAGGAGGGAGGGTCCTCCCAGAGAGCCTGGTCCTCCCAAGATTTCTTCCTCCAGGAGGGAGTTTTTTCTTGCCACCGTCGCCCCACATTCACTGGTCTCATCAGCAGGGACATTTTTAACATCCTAAGACCTGAACTCTTGAAACAATTTGATTCTTTATGTTATTTTGTTTTATTAAAATCAAAATAACAACAAAACAAAAATAACTAATAAAAAAAATATTAAAAGTATTCAGCAGTGTTTTGTGAAATTTGTAATGAGCCTTAGTTAAGTTGATGTCACAGAAGTTTCTGAATCATTTAGATTTTTCAACAAACTGATTCACTCAGGTAAAGATGGTAAGCTGGAGCAATGGTACGCTTGGAGTTCAGTTTAAGTTTTCAGACAAACATTCACTCGATCAGTTGCAGCTTCTGCTTTTAAATAAATGATTTAGCTGCAAATGTTTAGCTGCAGGTAGCAAAGTCCAAAAGTGACAACATTTCCACTGCAGTCTCTCCAGAAATGGCTTATAAACTTTTGACCAAATTAGACATTTATCCTTGGATCATTGACAACCCTGTAGGGTGAAAATCTTTAATTGTACCTTTTATAACATTTTAACAAGTTACTGTCTCCTGCTGCATGTTTCCTGTTTTGGCTGAACTTCATCAGCTCAAAAAACTCACCGTGCTGTGGTGTACTAAATGACCTCATGTACAGGACACACTGAAGGCCGGTTTGCAACGTTTAATCAACAAAGTCAAGATCAGTTAACAACAACCGGACCCAGTGTTGTATATTTGTTTCCCAAAAGATTGAAATAGTGGAGAGAAATCAGGTTCTGAAACCATCCAGAAGACAAAGTCTCCAACTGGTTTGTGGAAGTCCAGTTTCTCCAAATTAATCAGCGGGTGAAATGTCTCTTCATGGATGGTTTTGATTCTGTTGTTGTTCACGAACAAAGCCCTCAAAGCAGCATATGAAAGAAAGTCATCTTTCATTGTTGTCTCCAGCGTGTTAAAAGAGAGATCGAGCTCAGTGATGAGTTTTGAAGCAGCTGCAGGGACTTCTCGAAGGTTTTGGCTCAAACAGTCGCAGGATGTTGTTCACAGTGGTGACACTGTTGACTGGTGATTGACAAGCACTGAGATACTAACATGACAAACACAAGAAACATCATGACTTATTCTCCTGAGTGCCTGCAAAACACAAACACAAAATCAAACTCAAAGCTTTTCTCTCAGGTGCTGGTGTGGCACAATCTAATGATAAGAAAGGTCATGCTAACAGCTTTTGGAGCACAGCTGCACAAAATAACAGCTTTTGGAGCACAAAAGGCATTACAGGTAAACCCAGTACCCAAACATGTTAACAAGGATAAAGAAAAAACCTGAAACAAAAGCAGGTAGTGTGGTGATTTATGTTGTGAGGATGCTTTCACTCCCATCAAAGTCGCCCAGTGTTGAGAACCCAAATGAGCCCAAAAACCTCAAGTGGCTGCAACCAACAGCGAACGTCAAGAAGTGGATACTTGCATGTTGAGCCAGAAACATGCAGAAAACCCAAAAGAGGCAAGACAGCACACCTTGGTGCCACTCAGGCAGTACGAACACCTGGAAAGAGGAGCCCACAGTTCAGACCCAAGGACACTGGTAAGGACACCAGCCAGCCAGTTATAAGTCTAGTTTTAATTTTCATTTTAGTTAGTGTTATGGCCTGTCTAAGGGTGGCCAGACCATAATATAAGGGTGATCCACCCCTGTCTGACCCCAAGCAGCACATCACACAACCAGTACAATTTTGATGGTGATTTTTTTTCACAGTGATTGAATTCTAACAAAGGAAAGGAGCGAACTACAGCTTCGGGGTGGACCCCAAAACAACAAACAAAAGGGACCGTATCTAAAGGATGTACAAAACTTATTTATGAAAAGAATAAAACCAAATAACAATGTCTTATCTCCCTAACTAACAAAAACATGAGAAAAGGGTAATCGAATAGAGTGAACTATAGACTGTATAAAAGATAGGACCATTGCAACTTTACTGCAGCACTTCACCCTTTCACATAGTCCCAGCTCTTCTCTGTCATGTTTTATGGTGCTGCAAATGTCTTCAGTTGGTGAAAGGTCTGGGCTGCTGGTGTCTTGTTGTGCTTGCTATGCATCCCTGACTCGTTTCTTCTTTCTTTTTTTTTCTTTTTTTTTAATGTATTTATTTATGCAAGTTTCAAAATTTTTTTACACATTCACAAACAGCGGGACAGAAGAACACAGACAATAAAGACAATAACAACCAAAAAACAAACAAACAAACAAAAAAAACAGAGCAACAAACCACACAACAGGGTACAAGGCCAGCACTTATTAAAAACAGCAGAGAAGCAAACAAAGCAACTGGTATACATGTCAAACAACTCACAATCTAGTGAGTCCAATCCACAAGATCAAATCCAAAGATCGCTAGGAGGAGCTGATAACAATCATGCAAAAACAGTTATGGCAACAGCTCAGAATGAAAGCAGTTAAAACAATGTTGTCAGGACCCAGGGTGTGGACTGTCCTTCTTAATGTGGTCTATAAAGGGCCCCCATATCTTCCTGAACTTCTCCATGGAATCAGACGTAGAGAACCGAATTTCTTCCAGGTATAGACAGGAGACCATCTCCTCGAGCCACCTCTTGAAGCAGGGAGGGGAGGCAGATTTCCACTCCCCAGAATCAAACGTTTGGCAATCACCATACCAAACATGAGGGCCTGTTGAACAGCAAAGGGAAGTGCCAAGGAGTCGCCGGAGCAGCCCAGGATCACCATAAGACAGTCAGGATACAGTTGCCTATCATAAACAGTGCTATAGAAACTAAAAATACTAGTCCAAAAGGCTGTAAGCGTAGAACAGGACCAAAAAGATGCCCAAGAGTACCGTCCACAAGTTTACATTTATCACATTTGGGGGAAACGTTAGGAAAAATCTTGTTCAATTTGGTTTTGGAATAGTGCAGTCTATGGACAACCTTAAATTGAATTAACTGAAGCCGGGCGTTAACAGAGCATAGTTTTATCCGACTTAACACTTCAGCCCATAGATCGTCAGAGATAACCAAACCAGTGTCCCTTGTCCAAGCCTCTTTAATATGGCAAGAGGGGGCTGCCGAAGAAAAAAGGTTGACAAGCCGAGAAATTAAGTGTTTTGAGGTGGGAGGTCGTTCATCATATTGTAAAAGACATGCTGTATGGGATGGTATCTAAATTTGAGAATGCTTGCTTGACATAATTCCTAATTTGTAAGTACCGAAAAAAATGACTTGTAGGGAGATTGTACTTTGTCTGAAGCTGAGCAAAAGAGGCAAAATGATTGTCAATATAAAGATCCTTTATAGCAATTAACCCTTTGACAGGCCATTGTTTGAAAGCAGCATCCATTGTACTAGGCGTAAAGCTAGGATTGTGGCAGATCGGGGCAAAAGTTGACACTACCGGGAGGTTCAAGATTCTCTTAATTTGATTCAATATTTTTACGGAGTTGCAAAGAATAAAGTCATCACATGCACTTTTAATAACCGATTTTGAAAATAAGATAGCTGGCAAGGATGCTCCAGTGTGCTCGATAGCAGTGCTAAGCTCCAATTCGAGCCATTTAGGGCTGGACCTGCATCCCACAGCATCACCAACTATAGGCAGATTCCAGAAGACCCAGGCTCTGGCATTACAGGCCCAGTAATAATGTCTGAAAACTGGAAGGCCCAGACCACCCTCGTCCGAGGGCTTTTGCAAGTGAGACTTCGAGATGCGGGGGGGCTTGTAGGCCCAAACGAAAGGCATGATAATGGCATCCAACGCTTTGAAAAAGGAAGACCTGAGAAAAATAGGAACGTTCTGGAATAGGTACATGAATTTAGGGAGCACAACCATTTTGATTATATTGATACGGCCAATCATTGAAAGTGGGAGAAGTTTCCACCTATCTATCATACACTTGAGCTCATCAGTTAGAACCGAATAATTAAGCCTGAAGAGGAGTTTTGAGTTCCTAGGGATGTTAATACCCAGGTATGAAAAGTAATCCTGGGAGACCTTAAAGGGCAAACTAGACAGGAAATCAGGGCCCAGACCAGACGACAGCGGCATAAGAACAGACTTCTTCCAATTTATGGTGAACCCTGATAGGTGGCCAAAGCTGTCAATCAGCTTAAGAAGTGGAGGAAGGGAGATCTTTAAATCTGAAAGAGCCAATATGATATCATCTGCATACAGACCGATGGTGTACTCTGACGTGCCACAATTTATACCAGAGATATGGGAATTGGCTCTGATGGCAATGGCCAACGGCTCAAGAGCTAAAGCAAAAGCATTGGAGAGAGGCAACAACCCTGCCTTGTCCCACGGTGTAAGAGGAACGGGAGCGACCTCTCATGGTTGGTAAGGACCGAGGAACGAGGGCAAGCGTAAAGCAACTTAATCATATTCAAAAAATTCGACCCAAAACCAAATTTTTCAAGAGTAGCAAACAAATAACTCCATTCCACTTGGTCGAAAGCCTGCTGGGCATCGAGTGAAATCACCGCAGAATTGGGCAGTGTCGTTGAGTACATCGCATTTAAGAGACATCTAGTATTAGAAAAAGAGAATCTATTGGGGATAAAACCCGATTGGTCAGGATGAATTATAGAGCCTATGTGCTTATTTAACCGGCTGGTTAGGACTTTAGCAATTATCTTTTGGGCTGAGTTGAGAAGACTTAGGGGACGATAGGAAGAAACATTAGTTTCGTCTCTGTCTTTTTCAGGAGGAGACATATATGGGCATCGTAGAAAGAATGAGGGAATGAGCCGTTTAACACTGCGCAATTTACCATCCGAAGTAGCAGGGGAGCGATAACGTCAATATGTGTCTTATAAAGCTCTATCCCGAAACCGTCCGGACCACATGCTTTTCCATTAGGAAAGGAGCAGATTGCATTTTCTAATTTCCTCCAGCGTAAAGTCTGCATCGAGTAAGCCCGTGCAGCCTCAGGAAGAGTCGGGATGTCTAAAGCATTAAGAAAATTAGTGATTTCAGCAACTGTGGCCGTAGTACTAGATGTGTATAACTGACAATAAAAACTGCGAAATCTGTCATTTATCTGCTTGTGATCGGACAGCAACTG